GACAGAGCGGCAGCAAGCAGAACGATGGGACAGGTGCGTGCAGCTCTACCTGACCTACGGCCCCCAAGTACCCCGAGCCAACGTTTGGCTGTTCAAGCGGGTCTTTGAAGGAACCGAAATGAGTTTTTAAACTTGCTCTGCAAGCAAACCGGCCCGACTGCTGCGGGACAAACCCCGCTAACGGGGCCGAATAGCAGCGATCCTGTAGGCACGGAACTCACGAGGGGCTCGGCAGCGAGAGAGCGGCGGGACAGGCGCTCCCAGGGCCTCCGAGCCCCGAGCTCAGCGCCGCCCGCCCGGGGAGGCCCCACGGGCTCCCGCCGAGCCCCACTAGGCAGCGTGGGCGGCACCGCCTGCTCCTCACCTCGTCCTGCAGCTGCCGCACCAGCCCCGCCTGGCGCTGCTGCGCCTCCTCCGCGCTCCGCAGTAGCTGCCGCAGCGAGCGCGGGCTGCGCTCCGCGCTGCCCGCCATGGCCATGGCCATGGCCGGGGCTCAGCCCAGCCCAGCCCGCCCCGAGGGTCCCGCCCCGCCGGCCGGGGGCGGAGCGGCTTCCCCGCGCGCCCGGGCCCGCCCGAGGGCAGCGCAGGCTTCGTGAGGGGCGGCGGGGCCTTCCTTCCCGTGGCGAGGCCTTCCTTCCCGCGGCGAGGCCTTCCTTCCCGCGGCGAGGCCTTCCTTCCCGCGGCGGGGCCGGCGCTGGCCGCTGTCGGCGCTTCCGCTCCGCCGCGGCTGCAGGGAATCTAATCAGAACAGTGATCGTGAACTCTCTGCATTTCATTGGGAATTGTTCTGGGAGTTAGTTGACCTCATTGCAAATAATACGTTTCATTTTGTATTTGGCTGCTCAATAACACTGGCTTTTCTGACCCTTTTCCCCGTGAGTCTGAATGCTTCATCACTGACATTCTGTTTTGTTTTGTTTTGTTTTGTTTTGTTGTAGAATAAATGAATTGCCACCAAAATTGTCTGTAGTCAGTTAAGCTATTTGGGATCTCTGATACTCTCTCAAATCTTGAATCATCTAAACGTGCTTCTATTGCAAAGATGAACAATACGTGTCAACTGCACCTCAGGCCAATTAACATTGTATACCAAATAGAGGGACTGTTAGTGAATAGGTTTGAAGAAGCTTGAAACAAAACCTGAATTTTTCTAACTCGTAACAGGCAGAGGTACCAAAAATTAGGAAAAAAATTAATTTCCACTTAATTCAGGGTTGGGGGAATCTATGGAATCAAGAAGCAAAAACAACACTCCCACTCAGGATATTCCATGTTTCTATGATTCTGTGCTTTGTATTTCACTACTCTTTGCAGATGTAGCCAAGTTTCTTGATAACCAATGACATGATTATTTCTTTGGACTTCCAATCTTTTATTTAACCTCACAACATTGTAGCACAGTGTTTTAAAATTATGCCACCTTCACCTGGAAATGGAAACATCATTATATTTGTTTTGCTCTGGCCCAAGACAAGTAAGTTTTAATTATAACATCTGTAAGTTTTGTGTAATTCTTTCCTTTTAAAAACACAGAGCTGTTAAGTTCCTTCCTAAAATTACAACTTCATACTTTTAAAAAACCCGACAGCCATGGTGCAGAGGTCTATATATCCTCACAGAAACAGAATGATAATTAGTTTCAATAAGCAAAACAATGTGACAGCAAATGGCCTAATATATGGAGTGAACTCAATCCTGTAAATTCTTTCTAGAAATTAATCCACTTGGGAAAGGACAATGGAATTCCTGATAGATCACTAGAATAAAGACTTGCACATACAGCTTTGACTGCAACTTTGCAGCAGACAAAAATTTTAACTCGGCATCGCATATCCAACGGAGCCGTTCATCCTCAGGGAACTGCAATGTTTTCAGCACTATGAAATATTCCTCTGGCTCCCCAGAGTGATCCCTCCCTCTAGACCGTGCTGGGCATTCAGAAGGGCTCGTTGAGATTGTCTGAGAAGTCATCACAGCTCATGTAGGCATAATCTCAGGATCTGGAGAACAGGAGGCAATGCATTTCCAGGGAGCAGGGTAAAGGCCCTCCCTTTTCAAATCCCTGCACACACCATGTGAGGGAGGAGCTGCTGTCACAGAACAGGCCGAGAAGGACAGGTGGGGTACAGGAGCTCAGCCACCCGAGAGTGCACGGAGATTGGGCTGGTGGTGAGCAGTGAGAGGCTCGAACCGCTTCCACTGTGTCCTGTATCCAAAGCCTCACCAGCAGGAGGGTTTCTAGCTACATATTGAAGATACCAGTGGAGTTTGAGTTTAGCCAGTTGGAGTAACTCCACTTTGGTGTAGGGTTCATAGGAACCCCCCAGTCTGTGGGTTTTGTTCAAGGTCAGCATTCCACTCTGGAATCTTTGGGCTCAGTGCACTCTACAGTATCTGTGCTCCTGTGATTCTGAGCACTGAGATGGAGTTTGCTTCAAGAGAGCCTCTTTTAAAGAGAGAGATTAGTTTGCACACCTTGTTTTGCTTGCTTTTCCTTTTTCTTTCTGTCTAGCTCTGTCCAGCCCACTAAGACATTTTAATCTCAGACATGTAAATATTCTTTGAATATATGAATGATCATGCTTTCATCTGATTTACTAAGACAAGGCCCACGTAATCACATATTCCAACCTCCTGCTCTTTTACGTGCATCTCTTAAATCATTTATAAATCTCTTTGCAAATCTTCAGCCAAGTTTGATAGAGCAAGCGACCTTTTAAAGATATTAAATTCTTACAAGCATTGTGAAAACTGGAAGCTGGATAAATTAAAAGTGGAAACTCAACATTTAGCTACTTTTGGGGCTTACTGGCAAGCTGATCAATACGGTGCGGAACCAAACATAGCACACTACACAGCAAAAAGGTGGGAAATATGGGAATGATGAAGTGATGGCATGGCTGGGAAGGCCATGGGATGGTGTGGAGTGACTGATGGGGAATGGTTTCCCCAGAGGTAACTCCCAGGAAAAGCTGCTTTTTTTGGTAGGGAAATATCAAAAGCACAACTGACATCAGAGGAAGGGCCATTAGATCAAAATCAGGAGGATCATGATATTAGTCTACCTTATTTGTGACATTCGTAAAATCACTGAACTTTTCTATCCTTCAGTTCCTCCATCAAAACAAGCAAAGCATTCAGAGCTCCTCATGTCATGCAGCTTATTATTTATGAAAGCAGTTCAGTGTTTCTGACACTAGTCAGGGTGGGTGGGGAATGCTACAGCACACATAGAGCAAGCTAAAATGTGGTGTATCTTTTCCCTTTCGTCTTAACTAAAAAAAAAAAAAAAAAAAAAACCTGCAGGAGAAGGACTGGGCTTAGCATCAGTGCAAGATGAGAAATGGGTCCCAGAAATCCCTGCTGAGTCCAGCCCAGTGCCTCTTTTCCCGAAGGCTCATTTAGAATAACAGTTCAATTTTTGCAGCTTATGAAAGACACACTTGCTCTGCACTCTCTTCTGGATAGCTGAAAGCTGCAGGACAGCCCTGACCATGAAGAGTGCTATTTTTGACCTGCAGCCTTCTTGGGGCCCCGGAGTCAGCAGCTCTTGGACATTTCGCGTTTAAAATTAAAACGAGGGCCGGTGTTGAGCAGTCTCGGGAGGAGAGACGGGGTTCGGCCTGTCTCCAGCTCCCGAGTGGCTCTGGAGAAGGAGGAGGAGGATGGCTGCCTGCAGGGTGCACTGCTGCCCCGCTGCACCGCCCCCGCCCCGCGGGGCATCCCCTTCGGCAGGAGCTGCTTCTCCAGCTGGGCTGACACTGTTTTTTTTAAGCACAGCAATAAATAAGCCAAAATACACTGAATGCAGGCACAGCTCTATTGTGTTTGTGTAAAATTAAATGTTACCCTCATTAAGCGCCTGCGTTACAGCGCAGCCCTTCAGTCACAAGGGGACGAAGTGAAGCCACTGTTACATTCTCTGGAAAAAGAGCTACATGAATTATTTCTAAATTAGTTTATGTATGTGTCCAGTGGACTGTGTGACAGGTCTCAGTTGTTGATCTTGCAGTTTGTCCTGTCTATGCATGAAGTTCATCGAGGGCTGAGGCAGAGGTCATACTGCCACTTGAAAAGGCATCCTCTGGAGTTTTGAGCCTGTGGAGCTGTTTCACATGAGGCGGAGTATGACTCATGCTAATGAAAAGGGTAAAGAAGAGTTTTTTAAAGAAATATATCGCAGTTAAATTAGTTTAGACAGCATGACATCAGAGAGTAATTAAATAGGTTTGTTGGAATTCCGTTTCCAATTCCAGAGTTCAGGTTTGTAAAAGATTTCTGAGCACCTGCAGGTCTCTGTGTGTGAAATATTTTCACTGGAAAGGATTCAAAACTCAAAACTTTAAAAAAACCTTTTAACACAGAGGCAGCATTACGCCATTCTTCCTTCTCGGAAAAGAAAAAAAAAAAACCCTTGGATTTAAACAAGACTCCTTCAAGTTTTCAGACAGTTTTACAGAAGAAAACGAGGTGGTAAACTTTCTCTTTTCAAGAACAAGTTCTTTATAGCTGCTAACTGAAGTCAGGGGAGATCGTATCTGAGTACATGAGCATTTCCACTATGGGACTGGATACAAGTATTGAACAACAATATTTGAAATGTTTTAATCTCAAACGAAAACCATTTTTGCTAACTTTGGCTTTTAATTTCTTTCATGCTTTCTTCTGCCAAACTGGACGAACCTTTTCTGATTTTTTCTTTAGTGGCATTCAGAGGAAGACCAGAGGATGAAAATCCTGCATTTTCTCACTTTACTGCTTTGGCATTTGACTTGGCTGTCTCTGGATCTAGTTCCTGGAGCGCTGAGTAATTCTGAAGCAGGCCAGGGTAATCCAGGATCTAAACTAGGTTTTTTGAAAGCAGAAGGAAAGGAGAGGAATCCCTCTGCACGGGCAGATACACTGAGGACTGCAAGCCATGGATACAGTGCTGGGACCTCAAAGGCCAGGACTAAAAGCAGTGCTGTTCAGGATGGAGCTCTGCTGCCCAAGAACGATGACTCAAAGAAGGTTCCCTCAAGAACAGCAGCCACAGAGGGCAAGGTAGGACATCTCCCCAGCAGATCTTCTGGAGTAAGGACAGTGACTCCAAAGGTTCAAAATCTTAGCAGCAAGGTGGCTTTGAAAAAAACTGGCACAAGCAGTACTGACAGTGATTCTTTCAAAACCAAAAAGACTAAAGAGCCTGTAACCCAGAGGGAAGCTAAGGAAACTTTCCGACATCCCCCGATAACGCCACATGAATACATGCTCTCTTTGTACAGGACTCTCTCAGATGCAGAAAGAAAGGGTGTTAATGGAAGTGTAAAACTGGAGGCTGGACTTGCCAATACAATAACTAGTTTTATAGACAAAGGACAAGGTAAGAAAGGAGCTTGTGTGTGAGTGTGGACAGAGAGAGAGAGATGTCTGACTGTGCTTATAAATGCAGAGAGTATTGGAAAATAATCATCATTTGTAAAGTAAAATAGCTCTTTTTAATGTCAATGAAATCACATAACTTTGCTGCAGATTTTGTCCTCCTGCTTTATCTTGGAAAACTCTTTTACAGGCAGAACTAGATGGTTGTGTGGCAGCCAAAGAAAACATTTAGGAAGCATTTTAGATGCATATTTGTTGAAAATCAATCGGTCTTTACATGCTTAGGTGTTTAAAAACCTTTTGCATTTTTGTCTTATTTTCTTTCTAGCTAGCTAGAAACTAGCTCATGGAAACAGCTAACGTTAGATTGTAGTGTGCCTAAAAACATATAATATGTTAAGAACAGAGCTATTCTGTGAAAAAAAACCCACAAGTTTCAGTATGAAAGGGCCAGTCTGTTCTTTTCAAGATAGAATTGTGAGGAACTACACTGCAGACCCAGGAGTCATTACTCTGTGGGATGGGTGTATCTGTACTAGCTTAAAACTTTCAAGTACCACCAAGGAGCCCACAGCTCAGCACAGGCTACCAAGGGTAATAACATCCGGGACTCTAGAACTTGCAGCTCAGCATTTCTGTTCCAAACACTTTTTGAAATTTGGGCTAGTGTCTGCTTTTATAGGAGAAATAACCAGCCTCCCAATGAATGATGTTTACCTCATCACCCTGCTTTGGGAACCCCATGTTGCTTCCAGTGACATTTGTACAAGTTTTCTCACATTCTCAAGGAAGCAACACACCTGGTGAAGGAATTGTGATGAAAGACTCACCAGAACTGGATTTTTTTGCCATCTCTACATTAACAACTTGGCTGCTGGGAAGGGGGGATACACTGCTCACAAGTGCTGCCTTCAGGTTCCCAGCTTGCTACTGGAATGCACTGTTAATGTCACGTCACTGGAAGGCTGGCTCAGCCATATTCCTCACCAGCTGAAGCAAGCAAATGTAAAGTCAGGATAAAGGGAGGAATGCTCTTCTCCCCAGTTTGAAAAATTGTGACTCACGTGGGGGTTTAGTTAATTAGGCAATTATCCTTGTGTCTGGCAGTTCCTGGAGATGCTGATTTTAAAGGACTAATTCACTATTGTATCATCTAAGGGTAAATTTGCTCATGTTTGGAGCCAGCATAAGGCCTGGCCACCACTGAAGCTGTTTCAGTAATTTAAGTAGGATATAAGTGATGAATAAGTCCTGTGAATGCTCAGCCCTGAAAAAGTATTATTTTTTCAACTGGGTAATCACAACTTTGAAGGTAGGAAATGCCCACTGGTGAAAGAAATGAGATTTCTACAGGGCAGAATCAGAAACTCATTTCTCTGGTGAGTCCCTGAGTTCTTCTGAGTTCCTGCCTGGAGCTGATCCCTTCGACAAAAATTGCTCTTTCTGTTCAGTGGGCTAAATTCAAGGCTTATGAGCAAAACTGAGGAAAACCATTAAGAACTGAATAAGTGACAGTGAATAAGGTCTGTGCTTGATATACATTTTAAAATCTGTGTGCTTTTTTTAGATGAGCGAGCACCAACTATAAGAAAACAAAAATATATTTTTGACATCAGTGCATTAGAAAAAGATGGTTTGCTGGGAGCAGAGCTTCGAATATTGAGGAAAAAACCTTCTGATACATGGAAGTCTCATTCTTCTGGAAAAACTTCCCAAGTAAAATTGTTTAGTTGCTCTACAAATAGACAAGCCTCAACACTCTTGGACTCTCGGACTGTCAGTATCACCGATACACCCAAGTGGGAAGTGTTTGACATTTGGAAACTTTTCAGAAACTTTAAAAACTTGGTTAACTTGTGTTTTGAACTGGAAACTTTTGACAGGGGGAGAGCTGTTGATCTCAGGAGTGTGGGATTTAATAGAACAGGAAGACAGGTCAATGAAAAGGCTCTGTTCTTGGTATTTGGGAGGACCCAAAAAAGAGACTTATTCTTCAATGAAATAAAAGCTAGATCCGGCCAAGATGACAAAACTGTTTATGAGTACTTATTCAACCAGAGGCGGAAGAGAAGAGCTCCTCTAGCAACACGGCAAGGGAAGAGGCCCACCAAGAATCTGAAGGCGAGGTGTAGCAGAAAAGCCCTTCATGTGAATTTTAAGGATATGGGCTGGGATGACTGGATAATAGCCCCTCTGGAATATGAGGCGTATCACTGCGAAGGGCTCTGTGAATTCCCCCTCCGATCCCACCTGGAGCCCACCAACCATGCAGTTATCCAGACATTAATGAACTCGATGGACCCCGAATCCACCCCCCCAACTTGCTGCGTGCCAACCCGGCTGAGCCCCATCAGCATCCTATTCATTGACTCTGCAAACAACGTGGTCTACAAGCAGTACGAGGACATGGTGGTGGAGTCATGTGGTTGTAGGTAGCAGAACAGTTGTTCGTGTGAATATGTTATGAAATGTAGTATGACACATTGGACATAACTTCTCCTCAAACAAGGCTAACTAGATTTCTTACCCCTAGGGTAAGTATGTTTACAAGGATGTAGCAATAAATCCAGTGTTTCTATATGTCTCTCCATGGAAATATTTCAGTAGCATTTGGATGCTGTCAGACAGCTTGGATTTAAGGCCTCATGTCACTGTGGCAACACAGGACTGACTCTTAAGTGAAGTCCATGACAGAGAAGATGATACCTCTACACCTTGAGATCTCCTGCTTTTAGCTTCGAGGCAGTGGATAGAGATGATATCAGTGAGCTGTGGATATGACCTGTTTGTTCCTTGAATATTGTGATACCTCTACACCTTGAGATCTCCTGCTTTTAGCTTCGAGGCAGTGGATAGAGATGGTATCAGTGAGCTGTGGATATGACCTGTTTGTTCCTTGAATATTGTTCTTGAGACTGAATTTCTGTCTGATTCCCCTGTGCTTTGTCCATTCATAAATGTGAGAAGAGTCCCAGTGTTGAGAAGAGTTGTGTTCTGGTGTGCCCCCATCTTGGTGTAAATAGTTGCACTGTAATATGAATTCTTTCTGATTAGCTCTTGAAACTACGCATATATAAAAGGGGTCATTAAATATAATATGTTGGTTTAGTTTTAAATTTTACATGAAGATAGCTGATGCAGAAGGTATTTGCTTCCATGTACATTTTCCTCCAAGCTACATATCTTTCTTAAGTATCCACCTTTCCATTATTATGTAGCAAAATATATTATGCTGTATAAGGTCCAAGTTGTTTTCAAATGCTCATAGTAAAAGTGTTCAATTACGGCATAAGATGTAATAAATTATTGACACAGTGCTGCATTGTGCCTAGATGTCCAACTCTGCATAATTATAACGCAATTAAGAAATTGTTTTATGTTTTTGTACAATAAATACAAGGGACTTTTCCATGCAGCAGAATACCAGGGGTATGCAAAACATGTCTGTATATTTTGCTGCCACAGAGAGAAACTGTGGAAACACTGAAAGAAAGATCTGAAAGGAAGACCTGGCTTGATCTGGTGGGGAATGACACTATGACTTGATGTGTTTGGGGTAAAAATGAGTTATGCAGATGGTTGCAAAAGAGCTTTGGTATCCTTTTATTCCACCCTCCAAGGGCTGTGTGCTTGTATATCCCCTTTTTCTATTACAGACATGGATTATAAATGAGATTGCCCCTGTGTGTTTCCACCCACAAAAGTAGGTACCAAATGTTCAACTGTAGATCAGAAAGGTCCTATGAACCATCAGAAATTGCTGAAAGAGTTTATCAATAGTACAAAATATAAATGCTAAGGTTTGATATTGCTTAAACCATTGAGTCATAAGATTTCCTGGCTCTGCACACCGTCACTGATGTGGGTAGAGACACGGAACCGAGTACAGTCCCCAAGGTCCTTCTGCTCAGTACCCCAGTCTGGACGTGCTCAAGCTCACACCAGCAGCAAACCATCCTCAATTCCTGGTCAATGGCCATAAACAGTGACATAAAGCTCTGCCCTTCCTCCTGCACTCTCTGGGCAGCTCCACCTTTAACCAGCCTAACCTGGATAAGCAGCCTTGCTGCTAGACACCTGGGGAACCCCGGTGCAGGTGACCAGCTCTGTGCTCTCTCCTGCAGCTCAGGGGTGCAGAACAGCCCTGCAGGGAAATTTGGTCTGTGGGATTTGCTCAGTGCCGTCATTCCTGCCTGCAGAGACGGACACTGCCTGGTTTACAGGGGCTAACACTGCCTGGTTTTCCTCCTGCAGGGACTGTCTGCCTGCTGCAAATCGGGACACCAGAAAGCTGCCCTTGCCCAGACAGAGAATCCCCACAGTGCAGGACAGCAGGCACAGAATAATGAGCACTTGAAGCTACTTTGTAACAAGTGTGTGAGAAATTCGGGCATATTGTGGGTCTTTTTGGTGGGTCAGGGCTGCCCGCAGGGATTCTCCATCTCCCTTCCAGACTCTCAATGTGCACTTCCCAGGTCCTGCTCTTCCTCATCCTAATGGAGCCTTAGGGCGGGCACAGCAGTTACTGATCCCAGCATTAACTGCTTATCGCCAGCCACTCTTTCAAAAACTACAAGTCTAAGCTTTACTAAAAGCTGATTTAGATACTAATGATTTTTACCATTGCTACAGGAGGAGGGAAAACATTCTCCTGCCAAGTCCAAAGCCAGGAGGGCAGCTCGGGTTGTCTTTCCCCAATCTGTTCAAGCAGCTCTTTTCCTGCTCCTGGCTGTTCTCAGGTGTGTTTGCAGCTTCCTATAGCACTGCCTCCAGCTATCTCCTGGAGAGGTTTGCTAGAGGACCATGACAAAGGGTCATCTCCTTTCTTCCTTAGGCAAGTGCTGCTCCCACTCTGGGAATGCTGTTTGCACATTCCCAAGGAAATCTCTTCTCTGACATATGAGACATAGCTGTGCCATGCCAGTTATTAACCACACAGGCACGTTCCTTGATGGCTCAGGGTGATCAGCTTAAAATAGCAAATACTGCCTATTTAAATACACTTGAAGCAAATCTAAGTTAAGACAAGTTAACTCCTGGGATTTGGACTGCCTGCACGGAGCAGTTTGCTTCAGTACCACCTGGATTCATCAGGTGCTATAACAACTGTAGTGGATGGAAGTACTGGTGTTACACACAAGGCATGATAGTTTGGAAGTCTGAGGAGGAAAATTCCTGTTCAGTTCACACTGCAGAGTTGGTGACCAGCTGAGAGTTCTGGTGAGGCTGGTCACAATAGAAAGTTTCTAAAACCTAGTAGATATAAACCTCTTTGGGGTTCTTTCTTGCTGTCCTTGTATGACTTTTTCAATGCATGAATAAAGCAAGATAAAGACTCAGGTAAATGGTATTTAAATTGAGTATGTATCAGCATCTAAATGGAAAAATAGGCCAAGGTTTTGCAAGCAGTATAATGTGAGGAAAAATTTAAATAAATACTGTCAAACTAAAGTCTTAAAAACCACCCTTTGGTAATCATTCAAAAGCCTACATTCTGCTTGGTAGGAGTTATACCTAGAAAGGAAAATAAAAACCCAAACCACCAGTAGGTCTGTAATATCACTTGAAACACATTTGAAACTACAGACAGAAAAATGCTGGAATGGATTATTCTTGCTTCAATAATGGGTTTGGCCAAAACAGAAGCAGTTTAATCCCAAGTGTCCAGGTTAGGAGGTAGCATGGCATTCAGTTTGCTTGGCTGGTCTCTCAAATATGATGACATCCAGAAAGGACAGCCCTGGCTCTGCTCAAATTTGGTTCAGCTGGAAGTGAGTTTATAATCATGGGCATAGGAATAGGGTAGTGTTTTTTCACTTTTAGGTCTCAAATTGAATATTCATGGTTTATATCATTAGTTATAAACCAGTATTGTGATGTCCAGAGTGTCCTTTTGTGTTTACATTGTGAAATAGTTTGATAAGTGTGAGAATTGCGGTTCAACATTATTTTATTCTGGAATGCTCTACTGACTTTCCCCATGGTGTAAATGAGTACTTGCCTACAGGTGCTTTATTGGTACATTGTTGGAGACATTGGGAATCCCCTGGCACAAACTTCTGTCTTCTCACAAATTGCTGTCAATCTTGTTAGGCCTGCAATCTGCAGTTTCACTTACCTGGCATGTGAACAGAAACAGACATTGAAAAATGGCACGGGTGAGAACAAAAGAAAGACACAGGCAGGGCTCACTTAGTCTTCATTCCCCTCCAAATACAGGAGTTTAGGAATAAGGCACACCCTGGAGTTGAGACTCAGCACAGAAACTGGAGAGAAACACAGAACTTTGACATTGGCCAAGGAAGTGGTGGAGGCACCATCCCTGGAAGTGCTCAGAAAACAAGCAGATGTGACATTTGATGATGTGGTTTAGTGGAAGTCTTTTCCAATCTGAGTGATTCTGTGATTCTATGACTGCAGGAGTTTGGCATTGCTTTCTTTAGCCAGGTCATTATATAATGTGCAAAGAAAGATACCCTAAATTATTGTTACGGTTTTCTTCCCTTGGGTGAGTTAGTGTGAGCAACTGGATGGCAGAAACCTGAGCTGTAAAGCAATACAGGTTAAAAGTTTAGCTTTCCACCTTTAAGATGGCAGGTTTCACTCTCTCTCTGAGAATGCCTCATTTGTATTTACTTTTTAGGGTCATTATCTGTCCCGAGAGAGTCTTTGTGAAGGTCCAAATTTCAAATAAACAGTACACTATAAGACAGGTATGTGTGGATAATTTTTGTTGTATTTGGCTAAAATATGGGTACTAAGCTCAATAAGTAAACATAAAAGTATGCCATTGAAAACAATGCATTCCCATTAGTGTTTGAATATGTGCCTAAACTCCGTGTACACTTTTACATGGTTATGTCATTTCCTGTGTAAAATGGGCTTGTTTATACAGCAGCCATATGAAAGATGCAGGCACCCGCTATGTGGGCTATTTGAAGCTTTCTTTAAGAAACATAAAAACCCCTTGACCCTTGTATAATAAAAGGTGTTAAAAGATACTGCTTTTATAACATCTTAGCCAAGACTAATAAGAATGTACAAAGCAAACAATATTTTTTTTACTCCATAGTCCTGGTCAATCGTGTTATTTTATGGATTTACTATTGCTGTTGGGTAGTAAAATGGCATTTAAAAATAAAATTGCAGGAGATTTAATTGCTTTTCAACAAATTTCATAAACAATAATCTTAACATTTTTTGAAAAACAGTAAATACAAAACAGTACATGCACTTTGCTGAGTGCTCAGAGTAGCCCATTTATTCTGTCATTCTGAGATCACTGATGTCCCTGTTTTCCTTGTTGTTTCTTTTTCAGAACTAGTTTCAACTTTCTGCAGTGATTTGGCGAGCTGAAGCAATACAAATGGATTCAGTTTCCCCTGATGTCATTTTGAAGGGCACAACTGTCAAGAAAAAATTACTTAGTCAACAATAACAGTAATTAATTGTCTGACTCTCTGCTAGGGGACAGAAAATGTTCTTTTTGCTGTTTTTTCTCTTAGAATCTCTTTGATATAATATCTTAAGCCATACTTTGCCATTTTGGAATCCAGGCTGAGCAGTCTCTGCCCAACATACTGCCAGAGAAATGCCATTAAACTAATTAAATTGAATTAAAATGAAAGTATTCCTTCTGCACATCCAGTTTTTACACAATGCCATTAATTGTGGCATAAAATCAGAAATAAGGCTTTAACTGATAAAAACAGAGACATTTCAGTTTGCTCATGTAAATGCCTTCAAAACATTAATCGTTCTCCAGAAATTTTAGAA